TAATTAAAGACTGATATTCAATGGGAAACAGTGCTGTGGAAAACAACATTTGTGGTATCAGTGGTACTCAACTATTGTACACAAGGTGTTCTTTGATCACAGTGATTCAACCTTTTATAAGGGCATTCATTGAACACAACTTAGTTGAAAGAATTGATATATAAGTTTCAGCACATTTTTTGCATTTCATCTTCACCAAATTTTTACTAGAATATTTACAGTCGCTGGTGAACAATTGATATTGCTGCCGTTAATAAGCGATTAATTTTTACATCATCAGCTGCTATCTGCGTATTATTTTGACAAATATTTTAGCTGTCAGTATATATTCCGTTAAGTTGAAGTACAGTTTTCAATAATTACTGTACAAATAAAATAATCGAAGAATTATTGTTGAATTTCTTTGGTGCTGTTGCTAGGCTGGATGCCGTTAATTTTAATGCTAATTGGAATGCTTTATACAGTTTATGCGCAGGAAGAAAAAAAGAGCTATAATAATGATACTAAGATGAAGGGTATGAAAAGTGTATCAGTGTTTGCTTGTTTCAGAACTACATTGGATTTTAAGTAAATTTTTTTATTTGGCTTGTATAAACGTGCAGTATATGGTTTCTGTTTTTTGACTCTATGTTGTACAGAAAAGGCTTATGGATATATGTTCGCTAGATGAAAGTTTAATCAGTTCATGGCACGATAAGTGTGTCAAATACTGATGTATCAGTGGTGGAAGAGTATAGACGATTTTTAAAGAATACAATTTGAGGTATCAATGTTCGTTACACTTATCATACCATTAGTTAGTTAAACTTTTATCCAATTGACACATCTTTTATATAACTTTTTCAAAACAGTTGCACAGCTGGGCAAATTTTTCGTTCAGCAGTTTCAATTTGAAAAAAAAAAAAAAAAGGAAAACATTTAAACATCGGTTACAATAAAAGTTTTAGCATATATTTCGGTTAGTGGGCTTTAATGGTTTGTTCACTATCACTTTTAATGGTCATTTTTTATACACAAATTCGTTTTCGCATTAAGTTCGAAAAAGTTTTAATTGTCAGAAATGTTTGTTCGAGAAAAAAAAAAAAGAAAAAAAACATAAGAGCGCATAGAAATTTGCAGATATCAACAAACAGAGTTGTTCAATTTAGTGAATTTTTTGCCCTAAAAGATAAATATTTTGTCTTTCAAGATTTGTTCTGCCGTTTCAGACTTGATGGCATGACCAGCCGTTGGTGTTATGCATCTGCAAAACCTACAGATGTGATGTATGTTGACAAAACTGCCTGATATCTCTGTCTCCTGGAGCTGTTGCCATTGTTATGTCGTCATTGATCTTTGAACGAAATAGCAACATTGTTGGGTGGGGAGGGGTGGCGGCAGAACATAAAGTTTATTTCTATTAAATCATCAATGAATTTATTGTTGAACCCTGAAGTGTATAGACAATAATCAATTGGAGGAGGAAAGGGTGGGTGAGGAGTGGAGGTATGCAGGTGGGAGAGGAAGAGGGTACGGGGGGAAAAATATATTAAAAAGTTGATGAATGGAAAAAATTGGCCAAATGACTAAATAAATGGTCTGTAAAAACCAAGAAAAAAAGAAGGAAGAAAAGAAAGCTTTTTTTTTTTTTT